TTTCCCACTCATGACAAGTAGCATACGGAGGTTGTTACCTGTCGGCTGGGAATTCTCACTTCTCCATGGCACCTGATGCCCCCTCCGATGTTTTGGAGGTCCATGTTTGCTCTGCTCCTATTTTTGTATTGTTTTTATGGATTTTGATCTTGAATACAGTTTGCCATCTCCATTTGTTTCAATAAAGCCCTGTCCCCACGTACTTGATGTTTTTGCAGAAGCTTTCTTATTACGTCATATATATGGCAAAGTGAACTTATTCAAAAAAATATGTAATTCATTGGCGGATCCAGGAATCATGAAAAGAGGGAAGCTACCAGTTAGGGGTGGTGTTAGGGTCCACAGCCACACAACAAAAGGTTGTGTACTGTATAGTTCCGAATCTTGAACCGAAATAACACTTTTAGAAAAAATAAACTGTCCAAGAGTAAATAAAATAATACTTCTACGATGAAGGCACTTGACTAAAAATATCATGATTGATAAATCATCAGCACTTGGGGTAAACTTAGACTAAGATGCTCCAAAAATGATATTTCTCGTAATTTCCTTCGGTTTGCACATATTTCTTAATTTCAGAATATCAACAACTTCAAATTTATATTCATATAAAATTTGTATTTTTTGTCCAGAACTTTCTACCAATATTCCAACAAATACTAATGATGTCAAAGGTAAGATTCTACATTTTTTAAAGGGACCTTAATCTAGAAAAATACCTGTTATTCCTTCTCCCCTATATTTTGTTTATTTTTTATTTAGTTTGTTACACATATCTACAGTGTCTGAGTGGAGTTTTAATTTTCTATGGAAATGATTAGGCCCCTAGCTGTCCCCTCTTAATCTTGCATCAGTGTGTATACTTCTGAATCTTAATAATTCTTTGAAAAAATTAATTGTCTACAAATAAAAAAAAAATAATTCGATGAATGCAGTTGCATAAAAATTCATGATATCAATAAATCATCAGCATTTGGAACAATCTATAACTAAGATGCTTCAAATATGATATCCCCCGAAAGTTCTTCTGGTAGGCAAATATTTCTTAATTTCAGAATTTTAGTCACTTCAACTACATGTTCATGTAAAATTTGTATTATTTTTTCAGAACTTTCTAACGATATACCAACAAATACTGATGAGTTCAAAGGTAACAGTCCATTTTTTTTCAAATCAAAGGGACCTTAAGCGGAATACCTGTCATTCATTTTTTTCATATTTTGTTTATCTCTAATTGAGATTGTTCGAACACATATCCTATAGTGTCTAAGTGGAATTTTAATTTTCTGTGTAGACGACTGCCTTTAATATTGTTTATACAATACCTAACAGGCTTCTTTTTCAGATAAACTCCAAACAAAAAGGTTTTAAATTAATGAAAAAAGAAAGAAAATAAAATATAAATGTGGGAGGTTTTTTTTTTCTAAACAATATTTTTACTACTTCTAAACAATATTAGAAGAAAGAAAGAAAAAAATATTTCCAGTTTCCTGAAAATTCTCAGAAAACAATTATTTAGATAGTTTTTACCTATTACATGTATTTAAAATGATCTTATATTTAAATGAATTCTCAATTAATGGTGACGTTATAGTGGATCCGGAACGAAAAAAAAACACAGTCTAAATTCATTAACTAGATTTTGGCATTTAAATACTTTAGCTCTCTATAAAGTGACGTGCAAACACGATTTCACGCCTTTATGAAACTGTTATACACTTCATCAAACAATTCATGTATCAATAAATATTTTGTTTTCGCATCTAAATACCCCACTCCTTATAATATTAACACATTTATGCATTGCATGTATCATTTAAAAAAGTCTCATAAAGGTAATTTTCAGTTTTAATTGATGGTACACGTGGTATGTAAAGACATTTGTCTAGTGGAAATTACTCTTGTAAATCATTTCATGTCTATAAGATTATTGGAGATAATTAGAAATACAATGCATAAGCTTCCAAACTTGTTTGAATTGAACGTATATACAAAGATACCGTTTATATAATTTTCCAGTCTACATGATTATTGGAATATGCATTTTTGGAGCTTTTTTGATTGTTATTGGAGTGATAATTGTGAAGCGACATCGTTCAAGGTAAAATCATTTTAAACCAATAAAAAATCATTTTGATAAAGTTGATTTTTGTATAATATGTAACAAATGAAAGATTCACATTTAATTATCAAAGAAACGTCGTGTTGTATATTCTATTAATGTATGTCAGCTTAATACGATTTTAGGCATTCTTAGTGTTGAAACAATCTTTTCTCTTGAATACAGTGCATCAAAAGAGCAGATTTCACGAATAGAGCCGACTGGTACAGATGGTTTAGTTAACCCCTCGACAAAAAAAGCACCTGATAATGCTTACACACCGATGCCTCTGGGTTCTCTAGGTTCTGTCTTCCCAAGTAACGTCGACGAAAATGTCAAAGCTGTGTACGTAGAATGTCCTGATAATGTCTATGATATTTCACGGATCCATAGACCTCACGTCCTCCAACAAAACAACATTTACCAGACAAATGAAAGCATCTACAACACAACTTTCGCAAAAAAAGATTATGACATTAACAACGATTCAAATCCGTATCAATCTTGCGTTAAACAACATCTCATAAAGCAAAACAAAGATTAATACAAAAAATCATGTACAGAACATTTTTTGTAATATATGTAAAGTTGTAAGAAAACAAGAGAACGAGATATCAAAGTGTTTAACAAAGATTTTCGAAGATGATGTGTACCCGGCGAGAAAAAAAATGCAATGAAACTTTCATATTCATTTTTTGTTGTTTTGAAATTAAGAATGAATAACGGATTACATACAGTGTAGCACAAACAGTCGTGTATGTTCGTGGAGTAGCTGCATTTAAAAATCATGTCATATATACGTTTGGATGATATTGTAATGTTTTGAGATTTTAATTTTCCAAAAGTTCTTTTTCCAGAGTTCAGACTTTCAGAATCCACACTTAATTCACACATATTTTGCAATATGCAGTATGAATAAAGACTCAACGTGTCATATTTTTAGCGTCATATTAAATGTAGCAAAATAAGGGAGCTTGTCTTCCAGATTGTTGAATATAAAATAAGAATCCTCTTTAACTACATATTAACAGTTGTTACAATAAGGATTCGAACACTCTCGGAGAAGAAATACCATATTTTTAGAAAGTACCATATAACATGTACGTAACATATATACGTGTATACTGTATTCATAAACTCTATTTGATTAAAACAAAACACCACAAATGCTGGTCTAAAAACATGAATTAAAAAGCACTATCTATGTGTTCAATTGGATGGAATAGCAACAATCAATGTTAAACCAATGACATTTGCATATATAATGATTTTAAACTCTATTTGACGCCTTAAAAAGAAATCAAATTCATATTGCATCCTTTCTATACAGACACGGTACATTTTTATCCTACATATATGAAATTATGTACATGTACAACTACTACAACAACAAATGTTATATATATTAGCCACTCAGCATTTAATGATAACATGTCTTTATTCACAGTCTATGTAAAGCAATAATTTAAATTTTACATACATGTACATTCATATTTTTTTAATTCAATTTGCTCTTCTTTAAAGTAAAAAAAAACATATTTAAGACATACTTTAAAAACATATTTGTCAAGTTCAAGCAATAGCAACTTTAACAGTTATAAATGCTAAAAATACATTCTATACTTTGCATTTCTTATTTGTATGTAGTGTAAATTTTAGGGTATAAAAAGGATACTCGGTAATTAATCGATGTTTTTGTAGGGAGGGTAAGACGCCAGATATTGTTTTTAATTTTGCACGGAAAAGGCAATATTGCATAGGGCTATGATTCTTAAAATACCAGTATCTACTTTTTCTATGAAATATTTCCGGGAGAGTTGTCCTGAAAAGACATGATCTTTTCTTCAAGTGTGGTAAAGTTTATTTTCTCGAATTATGATCACGAAATGTGCATAACTTTGTAAAATATAAGGAAGTCTATGTTTTATCTTTTGAATGTAAGTCACCGATAGCCAGTCCGGTTCCGTTTTATAAATTAAAAATAAAATTTTACTTGGAAATTCGGCGTTTGCATATCAGTTAAAGATTATATCTCTAGTCCATGTATCATAACGTAAAAAACGGTGCCAATTTCCTTAAATTCAAAAAAAAAAAAAAAAAATTCAAATGGCCAAAAAATTAGGCTATTTTCAACATTTTGCATAGCCCCTACAGTCTGGAATAAAATATTTATATATCTACCTATATAAATATAGAACTGTTTCAAAAATTCTTATTGATAAATTTTCTTTGGATCGTGGGCTGCCATCGACTAATTTAACTATTAGATGAAGAGGCTCAAATTCATCTAATTTCTCAAAAATTCAAAAATATTGTAATTTTACCAAGTCTATTTTGCAATACCTTGGCTCTTAAAGGTACTTGATTTTTTATAAGAAACAAAAGCACCAAGTCTCTACTGTATATTGGTGTTTAAAATTGAACACTGGGACTTAGTCAATGAATTAGCATAGAAACAGGGTCATTTTTGTTATAGTTAGAGAACTTAGCTCTTATTCCGCCGAATTCAAAATTAGAAAACAAGCAAATTCAAAGAATTGTGGTCCCCTGCTTTCGGTATCTTTGTGGGTGGGGTGTTACTTTTTATGACATATTGCGTCAAATCTTATACAGGCAATGCACATGAAAATTTGAAATTACTATCTCTTCTCAATCAAAAGGTAAGGTATAAGGAAGTGAAACACTGATGACGCCATATGGCAAAATAGCGAAACTTAAACCTTTCCTAAATGCAAATTAAATATAGTGAAACGCAACAAGCAGTAATCTACAACTGTTTGATTTTTTTATCTAATGATTATCAAAAAAGAATACAGTAAAGCTAGACTCACTTTTCAGAACATCAGAGATTTGATAACAAATGTTAAATGTTTATCTTTAACGTTACTAAGTAACATATGACTGTTAAAACACCCCCCTTCCCAGCCATTCAATTACAAAGTGCAAGGCTGCCCTAAACAACAATTGCAGCTTAATTTCTACGATACAATAGGTTAATCAATATCGATATCTGGGCGAAGGAATTATTCTTTGCCACTTTTAAATGCCTGTTTTTCAGATGATTAGGTCGAATTTTCTCTAACTTAGCCCTTTGTAGTAACCCTTGGACTTCCGGTCGAAGGACTATCATTTATGCATATGGTACGTAAGACCCCCTTGAGGCGTAATGTAGTGTATTTTTGGATCATCAACTTTCCATCACCTTTACTTTGAGATTTTCCAGCTAGAGCAATGGAAATGCGTAGTTAACCCATTTTCAAGAAGCCTTAGCACCGTTACGGGAAAAGAATGGAGATTTTATTTTTTGAAATATTGCTGCATTACTTAAGATGAATAGCACAAACCATTAAAAATCCATAATATTGCCAAATATTTTGTTAAACATGCAATTTTTTATTTCTGTTAAGCAAACTCCAACTTGACTTCCGGTTATGGTATGAAAATCGTTCAACCATTAATTAAATTACCGATATTTACCAAATAGAAGATATCCATGATTTAACATACAAAATTCTTTACTTTACATAACCATTTCCCCCTAAAGCGGGGTGTTGCGTTTCTTTTGCGTTTCAGTGTATATTGGTACCCAAAGTAGGGCAATCTCACAAGAAATACGATTGTGAAATATGAAAGCCCTAGCACCACCTGTCCAAAAGTTATGGTCAAGGATAAGTTTTTGAAAGGTAAGTCAAACTCCAAGGTCAAAGTTGTTCATTTCTTATGAAAGGTCTTGCCACAAGTATTACATAGGTGAAGTATGAAAGCTCTTGTCCGCACCGTTCAAATGTTATGGCCAGGGTTAAATTTGTTAAAAAGTAGGTCAAACTCCAAGGTCAAGGTCAAAGATCTTTATATCTAATGAAAGGTCTTGCCACAAGTAGTATATATGTGAAGTATAAAAGCCCTAGTTTGCCCGAACCGTACAAAAATTATGGCCAAATTTAAAGCTTTTAAAAAGTTGGTCAAACTCCAAGGTCAATTTAAAGGGGTCAAAAGTTGCTGGTATCCTATGAAAGGGCTCCTCTCAAGGATTACATAATTATGTGAAGTATAAAAGCCCTGGCCCTTACCGTTCAAAAGTTAAGGCCAAGGTTAAAGTTTTTTTTTCATAAGTACGGAAATCTCCAAGGTCAAAAGGTCAAAGTTTTTTTGCCAATATAGAAAAATCTCTCACTGGCTGGGTCTTAGATATTTGAACATTTTAGTATTATAGCAACAAATCAACATGTGTCCATAATTTTCTGTTTTTTATTATAAATAGCCCAATTCATCTTATTTTCAAACGCCACGCTACCAGCTCCTTATTGATTTTCTTGGCTGATTGCCTGTTATCAATTGACCATTATCAATCTGTGCTAATGCCATTTTTTTATGATTATGTTATTAAGATCACATTTTTTCAGCAAGCTTCAGCTGAATGTTAACTGGTTAATGAGAAACAAATAATAACATTACTAAATAAAAATTACGCAGCTGTAGAGAGTTGCAATGTGTCTACTATGAAAAAAAAACGTAACGGATTTTAAAATATAACGTCCGACAAAGTACTTAAAATTCAAGAAAACTATACTTTCACAAGTTTTAATTAGTATAGCAGAATGTTTGGATGGATGTATTTGACACTCAAACTTCACTGTATGAATGAAATCATGTGTATTCTTGAGAAAATTAGGAAATGTATTAAAAATTAGCGTCAACGTAACCTCCGTAACGATCAAACTTCGTCAATTTCCTCATATTCTGAAAAAGTCTATAAAACAGCCAATATTTAAAGCTATTTTTCAATATTTTCTATAGGGCGCAACATCTGACCTAGAATAAGAGACTAGGATATGATCGAACTGTTTCTGGGATTTTCATGATATGTTTTATTTTAAGGGACTCCGACCCTCAGCTAGGAAGGACAACTCTTTAATTTATAATTTAATTCAAAAAGTCTTTAAATGAAGCTTGAAAATTAAATCTTTTCATGCAACAATTTTCATTATATGCTTCTCAATGTGCTTCAAGGTTCTTTGAACTTCTCAGAAAGGTCTAATTAAAAGTAGAAATTTTTATCCTGAAAAAGCATTTTTAGATACCAATATTTATTAACATGATATGAAATTAGAAGTGATTTATGAAGCTTTGCAAAGAACCTTGAAGCACATTGAGAGGCATATAATGAAAATTGTTGCATTAAAATATTTAATTTTCAAGCTTCATTTAAAGACTTTTTGAATTAAATTATAAATTAAAGAGTTGTCCTTCCTGGCTGAGGGTCGGAGTCCCTTAAGATCAGAGGGTGCACTCATAAAGTAATCAAATCTGCCTGTTTATATTGAAATTTCATAACATTGCAATTCCAAAAAGTCCGTGTTCCAAGACATGGAGTTTAAGGAAACATTTTTGATAGGAAATAAAGGTACTAAGACTCAATAAACTTTTATATAATATATTATACAGAGCCGTTTTATGCATAAAGTGAACAGAACTCTTTTAGTTTTTGGAATCATGTGTCAAAAAGTCAAATGTAACATATACGTTTATTTAACAGAATAAAAAAATGTTAAAGGAAGAAGAAATGTACAATTGTACCTTGTTCTGTTTATTTAAATAAAAAACTAGTTTTATTTCCTCATGTAGTGAAAAACACTCAAAACACTTTTTCCAAGGCAAAAAATAAGAATAATGAATATGCTATTTCAGGAGACTTTGAAGTCATCTCCGTCTCAATGAATTATGCCTTGTTTATTTATAATATTGGTCTTACAAAGCTGTCAAAATCATTTCAAGTGAAAGTGCGGTCAGTTTTATGCATGTGGCGGTTGTTTAACGTTCCGAGAAGGGCGAAAATACCTTCAAAATCCGTATTATCTGTGTCAACATAACGTCCGTCACTTATTGATCACATATACATGTATTTGGATGTGATTTTCTTTTAAAAAATAAAAACGCAACTATCATTTCTTTCAAAATTCATGATTGAAGATATACGAGGCGTAGATGTTTTTTAACTTTTAAAAAAGTGTAAAAATATTGACAGCATTTTTTAAAACTGTAACGGCCCTTATTATTCACAAATAGCTGACCTTTGCCCATATACACAAGTAAGAGGTGAAAAATAGTTCAGGGATATGCGTAAAAAACAATAAAGTTTTATTCTCGGAATGAGGAACGCTATTGTAGGTGATTTATGATTAAACAAAAATTCGTTGGACTTGGAGAGGGAATTGGCCGGTTTTAAAGAGAATTACGCCGAACACGCGTAGAAACATTTTATCAAAGAAAAGTCTTCGTAAAACATGTAAGTATTCATTTGAAGATTGATCAGTTTATTGAATATTGGGAAATCACTAATTACCGTTGGGATTTAATTTTCATGGATTTCAAGGTATGAAGAGACCCACGAATATACATTCACCACGAAATGCAATTTTTCACACATAAATTTACTTCTGTTCAATTCTTCAACCAAGATATCAAATCTCATTTCGCAATGAAACAATGTATTTTCCTTAAACCCAAAAATAGACCCCTCGAAAAATGTGATTTTACAGTACTCAATCAAAAAGTAGATAACGGGGTTTGGAATTGAGATAATTTGGAAACAAAAAAATAATGTTTGAAAAGATTTATAATTATATACTCCTCAGAACATTATTGATTTAATCATTGATTGTTGTTACAACCCTACTTATGCATTCATAACCTTTTGATTTTCTGCAAATCATAAAACCCAAGTCCACAGTAGCTCCATAAGTATAGCTCTGGTGAGATTCAGCGAGACTACAGCGAGATAAGGTAAATTAATCAAGGAATTGTGGGAAGTGACTAGCACGTGCACACATGGTAATCAGAAAGTAATTTTGCTATTCAGTGTTGTCAACGAGTACCCAGTTAACCGGTTAATCGTCAAACATTGCGAGTATCGATCAGTAAACTTTTATTCGGTTACTCGGATAAAAATACATTTTACATACTACACTGTTAATAACTAAAATAATGCATGCTATTGTATTTTTTATAAGCGTATAGGTATACATTTACTTAATTTTCTTTACCGTTAGACTTAATCTTGTGATTCAGAAAAAAAGGATCTAATGGAGTATTTGTTTTAATTAGTTTTCACAGTTAATTGATAGCTTTTATTGCCCGGAGTAAACAAGTTTTGAAGTGAGTTATAACTCATTTAATAATTTTTAAAAAGATATCGCCAAAGACAATTGTAGCTTAAAAGTATTTGATCGCGAAATAAATCGGGGGCTGAAAGAAAAAAAAATTATAAATGTTGTGGAACGCTGAATATTCATTTGTCTTCCTCATATGTTTATTTAATTATCTTTATTCTTTATTCTAAAATCAATTTTGTGCGTGCGTGTGTTTTTCAAGTGAATGAATAAAAGTTTACTTAGAGTATAATTATATGTTTTATGTAGTATATACTCTCAAGTTCTATGTAGTTTATATTACTACTAACGTCGAAAGGATGAGATACTCATGGTTCTATGTAGTTTATATTACTATTAACGTCGAAAGGATGAGATTAATATATATGGAAACAATAACGATGAATTATCCGAGTAACCTGGTACCCAATCGCTAGCGGCTACTAAAAATCGGCCGATTTGACAATGGATAAGATGAAGGTCTAGGAAATGAAAGGAGCCTCTACAGATATTTCAAATATGACAACACCAAATGTGGCGTTTCATTTTTCAGCAACTTAAAATATCTGTAGAAATGTCTCTTGAATTCATTCAAACTTTAT